TGCTCCCCTTCCCTCCCCTTTCCTTCCCTTTCTTTCTTTGCTCTCCTCTGCCCACCCATTCCATCCCCTCATCTCCCCTCTCCAACATCTGCATCAAGTTTCTATTGTTGAGAATAATCCACCAATTCTGGAAACGAAATGCTCATCTACAAATAGGATATGCTCTGTAAGCCTGGGATTTTCCTATGATTTAATTATCTGATTACTGTAGTCCGTTGCCAAGCACAGAGGATTTCAAGTAGTTTCGCCATTTTATAACATAGTTCAGAGTATATTTGAATTTCTAATTCCATTTTGTACTTTCAAGGCTATTTTAGTGAGTCCCCATATACCACTAATGACAGCCACATCATTGAATTTCCACTAGCTTTGGGGTGGCTCTCATTTCCTGGCATATTATATACTTACTGAAGGAGAATTGATGCTGAGGTAGCTTAATTATTTTCAACTATTTTTGTCTTAAATAGGCTGCACAAAAGGCAAGGACAGAAATCACAGAGAGAAGTCAATTGAACAGATTATAAGCCCAGACACCAGGAAGGAGGGCAGAGAATGCAGAGGTTAGAAGGGCTCAGAAACAAAATATGTATTTTTCTCCTGCCTGGCCCAGAAACAAATATGATCTTCAAAGCTGTTGCCCAAGTGAACTCCTGGATGTAATTACATATTTTGTTAATTAGTTATCAAATCTGGGAACCTAGTAAAAGCTAAGAAGAGGAGAAGGCAGTTTGGGAGAGTGGAAATGGTACTGGCATTGGAATCAGCAGACAGTTTTGCAGGCTGGCTTCCCTATGCTCTTTGGGCCTCAGTTTTCTCATCTGCAAAGTGGGTACACTCTGCGTACTTGCACTACCAACTTCAGAAGTGTCCCAATCTATGGCAGTCATTTTGGGGGCTTGGAAGACTTTTTTTTCCAGAGTCAGAGTGGCCAAGGATGCTGAAAGGCGGAGGCTTTTGTTTTAGATGATGTATCATGGTTGATTAAAGGAGATAATGCATACCAAGCATTAGATAAATGTGATTTGTTTTTGTTATTCCTCAAGACCAATAAAATAAGTTGTATAGTTAAGATGGGTGTCTTGCTATCCAGTTCAATCTTCAGGTGCTCTGTTTCAATTAAATCAATCAACAACAAACAGAAATATCATGCACCTATGATGTGCTAGGTACTGGGATAAAAGCTAGAGATACAGGACTGCAAACTCCTGCCTTGGTGGAGTTCACATTCCAATGGATGAGATAACACACGTACACATAGATACACACCCAGAAGAAAGATGAAGCCAAGGCAGTTCACAAAAGGTTTGGCAAGCCACTGAAACAGGCAGCTGAAGAGGAAGAGGCAGGTTCTTTTATGCAAAAGCAATTAAAAAAAATGCCACCCCAAAAGACTCAAGGTCTTGTCACTGAAACGGATTTTCTGTAAGGCTCAAACCCTCTCAGCTGAGTCTGTTTTGAGCAAGAGCTGTCACTGAGACCTACAGATGCTGGTGACAGTCCACCACCACCTATACAAGGCCTTTCCTGATCCCCTTAGCTGTTAATGCCTCCTCCTTAAAATTATCTTGTATTTAGAGTGGGTGTGTGCACCTACATATAGGTAGACACACACATATGTATATCTACATGTATAGATACATACATAGGCATATCTATACATGTAGATACACACGTGTAAATGTATTTAGTATATACTGTATTTAGTGTATGTATACACAACACAGAGACATATGCATACATGTGTATAGGCATACATATAAATATACTTACATGTATACACATATATGTACACGTGTATGCATATGATTATATGTATGTATGTATGTATATACATATACACACATATAAAAATTGTATGTGTGTGTATACATCATACAAAAGGCAGCATGGTTCGATTGATGGAGCCACAAAGATCTAGGTTCCAGTGACACACTGGTCACGTCAGGTCATTCACCTTCTCAGAACTCTGGGCAGCTAAGATTGTACATCACATAGAAGGTGCCAACCTCTATCAGTAAGAGGACTTTTGTATGCCAATAAAACCCATGATCCAATATTTTGTAAATAACTATATATGTATCCATGTTTTTCCTCACTGCCAATAGGATGTAAGCCCTTGGTAGGCAAGAAATGTTTCATTTCTGTCTTTACATTGCCAGCGCCTGACACACAGTCAATGCTTTTTGACTGACCAAGGGTAGGAGAAAGAAAAACACTGGGGACACCTCCCTAGGTCCCCACAGCCCAATTAGCCTTTTCTTTTCAGGAAGAGACCATAGTCTTTCAGGCTGGCACTATTCACAGCTTGTTTCTTCAAGATGGCTGCAGATTTTCAAAATAAACATAATGCCAGGGATTAAACAGCCTTGCTCCCTCTGAAGCGCTGCTTTGCATCAGTTGGACAAGATTCTCTAATCCACAGGAGGGTCATAGGAAGTGAAGGATGATACTACTTCTTCCTTGCTGTCTAACCCACCTACCCTGCTCTGGCTCATCTGGCTTAGAGGACAAAAGGAAACATTTTCCCTCCTCTACAGTTAAGCTGCATGAGAAAAATAGAGGGCTGATGCAGCTAGCTCACTCCAGGAGGTAAGCTTGAAATAACAAAGCAAGGAGCCTTTCAGGTTAATGAAATTAGAAAAATACCTGGGGCAGGGAGGTGGCGCAGTGGATAGAGCACTGGCCCTGAAGTCAGGAGGACCTGAGTTCAAATCCAGCCTCTGACCAAACACTTGACACTTACTAGCTGTGTGACCCTGGGCAAGTCACTTAATCCCAATTGCCTAAAAAATAAATACCTTCCCAGACTTTGAACTGGCAGGGAACTCAGAAGTATTCTAGTCCAACCCTTTCATTTTACAAATAAGGGAAACTGAGGCCCAGAGGACTGAGTAACTTGCTCCAAGTTAAAAGGTAGTAACCATCAGAGGTGAGATTTCAACCCAATTCCTCAGAGCCTAGAGGCCTGCTTTTTCTACTCAGATACTGCCTTAAGATAGACTTTATCAGTCAGAAAGGCTCATGAACATGGAAAGATCTTGTATGCCACAGAGGACTAATCTTCATATGATTACAGATTCAGAGCCGGAAGTGACCTTTGAAGTTGGGTCAGCCTCCTGAATTTACAAGTGAGGGAACTGAATCTCTAGAGAAAAAGTGATTTGACCTCATTTGGTGGTATCCTAGATAGAACGTTGGACCTGAAGTCAGGAAGACCAGAGTTCAAATTCTGCCTCCATCCTAGGCAAGTCACTTCACCACTGTGGGCCTTGGCTTCCTCCAGAAGGTGATAATAGCACCTACCTCACAGGGTTATTGTGAGAATCACATGAGATACCACCCCTAAAGCCTTCTGCAAACCTTCAGGTGCTATACTAAACAGCAGAGACATCACCTTGCCCACCAAGGTCCATATCACCAAAGCTACAGCCTTTTTCAGCCGCAACGTACGGCAGTGAAAGCTGGACTGGAAGGAAAGCTGAGTCACAGAATTGACACTTTCAAATTGTGTTACTGAAGAAGATTTGTGAGAGGGCCTCAGACAGCAAGGAGATCAAATCAGTCAGTACCGAAAGAAATTAATTCAGGCTATTTCTACTGACGGTGAAGCTTAAATACTTTGGCCACATAATGACAAGGTGGGATTCATTAGAAAAGACCTTGATGTCAGGAAAGATTGAAGGCAAAAGGAAAAGGGGATGACAGAGAATGAGACGGATAGATAGTGTCATGGAAGCAATGAACATGAACTTGGACAAACTTCAAGAGATAGTGGAGGAGAGTCACAAAGAGTCAGATACGACTGAACAACAACAAAATTCTTACGAGTTCCTCTGGGTCAGGGATAGGGCAGGACCTCTGAGTGTTCAGTCTATCTAATGCCATATCTATACAGTTCCCAGCCAAACACCAAGCACATCTTGACTCAGAGTCACTGTTTCTTTATTTTGACTGATTTGTAATATTAAGGCTTTTAGTGTTCCCCAATGTAGAGGAATTAGAAATGTATGATCTCTCTACATTTAAAATGAGGAATATCCACTCTATCTAGCAAGGCCTTGAGAGTACATAATTCTCAAGGACTAAGTCTATGAGCGTTGCTGGCCAAGAGAGGTGGAATCAACTGTTGTTGCTGAGATATCCTTTATCAGTGGAATGGGAAAAGGGATATGCCACCTTTTTTATCTATACCCTAAGGACCAACTTTAGCTCAAGCTCTCATCACCACCTGCTTGGACTATTGCAATAGCCTCCTTTGATCTCGATGCACCAGCCTTGGCATATTCAAGGGGTTTGTGTTATTTGAGGACACTGCTCATGCCACTGATTCTATTTTGCTCACTTCACTTGGCATCAGTCAGGACTCCCATGTTCCTCTGTATTTTTCATATTCATGCTTTCTTACAGGGGCCTACGCTGACCCCCTAAACAGCCCTCTGAACAGCTGGGACAAACTGCCAATCACAGGACAGAAGTTTCTTGAAGGTCTGTTGGCCTTTCCTTCAGGCTTCAGCACGGTCCAAAGCCTCCCTTGTATACAGGAGGAGTTAGATCAGTTAACTTCACATGCCCTCCTGCCTAGAGCTATGTCTTAACCCTTCCCATATAGTTTCATTTTAAGGCTGGCTGGTGAGGTTTTCCTCTTTATCTCACGCAATCCAGTCAAACTTAAAAGTCAAATTTTCTCCATTAGTTAAGCCTATACTACTTGTGTCGTTTGTCTTTCCCATATGAGAAAGATGAAAGAGAAAAAAAACCCAGGACGGATAGGGACAAAGGAGAGATGACATGTCAGGAAGAGAAAGGCTTCAATAACCAGCTAGATGACTCAAGAAGAGAGAGTGGGGCTGACGACTTCGTGTAACTCTGCCTCACTTAAATCCAATTCACACAAATCAAACATCACCTGTGATGCCGCTGGTCCTCCTTGAAAACAAAAGACGGACAACAACATGAAGCATGGTGCCTCAATGGTGCATCAGTCAACTTAGATCTCATACCTGGAGTTCCCTCATCTGACGGAGCTGGAGCCGGAGTTCAGACACATTTCGCCTCATGTCATACAGGCTCATTTGGATGGCTGTTGAGCCGGCGGGTGGTGGCTGACTGAAGAGTGTACTGGACTCCTGGGAGCCTAATGAAGTCTTCCCACCAGAACCATGAGGGGTTCCTGCAAGAAGAGCACCAGGAATTCCTTAGTATGTCAGAGAACAGAAACCCACCCGCATTGTTCCCCTTCCTAGCACAGTAAGCCGAGAGAAGCAACAGAAAGAGCATTAGCACGCAGAAAGGGCTTAGTAACTGCTTTATCATTCATTCATCCATTAGAAAAGAGGCCCTGGGTTCAAATTTGGGATCTGCCATTTGCTAGCTGTGTCACGTTGGGCCTAAATTTCTTCATCTATAAAATAGGGGGACTGGACTAGATGACCCTTCAAGGTCCCTCTTAGAGCTAAATCTACGATCCCACATCCAGTGTTACAGGTACAAGTAATTCCGCAAATATGTCTGACAGAGTTAAAGAACAGCGATTGAACTTGTAATTTCATCAGTAAAGGGAACTCCTTAGGTGAGGAACCACCATCTACCCATGCAGGTCTACACCTTCTCTGTAGCTTACAGTCTAGACAGTTGTCTACAGCCCTGCAAGGTTAAATTAAACCCAAAGTCAAACAGACAGTAATGTATCAAAGTGAAGACTACAATCTGGATATCTGTAGCTTCCAAATTGGCTCTCTATCCACTACACTAAGCAAAATGATGATTGAGGATGAGGATGACGATGACGATGATGACGATGATGACATTTTTCTTTTTTAAAATCTCTGACTTCTAACAAACCACATGTATAACAATTCCCTGTATTGCCTGTATACCCTGCAGCTTTGGTCAGGCATACAGGTAGGACTGAAAACAAGACTCAAGAAACACTCCCAGAATGCCTTAGGACTGCTAACGCCAGTAGAAGAGACGTGGCCTCTCCATGTCGGAAAAGAAGGTACAATCTTAAATTCTCTCCATCAAACAGGGCAATCAAAAGAGTGATCTTCTCATGCTGTCTCACACCTGTTCCTTTCTCCTCTGCGATCAATGAAGAGGTATTTATGAAATGTCTCCTGTGTTCCAAGCACAGTGCTAGGCACTGGGTATGTGAATACTCCTTGGGGACAGGATCATAACTTCAGAGCTAAAAGGGACCTTAGAGGTCATGAAGTCCAGACACATCTTTATTTTACAGAAGAGGAGACACAGAGTTTATGTGACTTGTCTAGGCTCACACTGCTAATAAATAGCTGGGACAGAATTCAAACTGAACTCCAAGACTAGCGTTCTAGCCCCCAAATGACATATTTTGTAAGCATGCCTAAAAGAGGTCAGAGACTGGCCAAGTTGATCCTGAATCCTGATTTTTAAAGCTACCCAAAGATCTTGAAAAAGTGAGTTTGTGTTAGGGAGTGGGGGTGGGGAAGAGGAATTGGTGTCCAGACAGGCTAGGAGTTCAGGAATAATTCTTTCTACAAGCCAGAGGAAGTGTTCTCTCCCCTTTCCCGTCCCCCAAACTCCTCCTGAAAACAATGCAGTCCTAAGGAAAGGGCCAGCAGAACAGCCTGAGTCAGATTAATCACACCCACGCCCACACTCCTGAATGGGCTTTTCTGTTTCCTTTCCTGTAAAGGGCAGAGTGGAACCCTTTAAATAGGCCAAGGTCTCCCAGCAGTACGACCTCTGTATCAGTTAATCTCACACACCCTTCTCCTTTCCAGACAGGGCCTAGGGAATAAGCAACATTTGGGTCTGTCAGATTTTCCTCTTCATCTTGTACATGACAGTAAAACTTAAAAGACAATTTCTCCAATCAGCTAAGTCTAAAACCCCATTGAATGAGGGAGTTTCCTCATAGCCTTGTCCTTATATTCACTCACTGTTTAGGAACTTGTCCTGGAACCACAAAACAAAACTAAAGTGGACCCAGTACCCTATCCATAGACTTAAAAATACCAATACAAGATGGAGTCTCTCCTTTCTTTGAATAATGTCTCTTGGGAGGAGAGGAACTGTCCTGAAAGAGGCAGAGAGGCCTGGAGTTGATGAGATGCCCTGGTCGATAAGTATGTTTAATTTTCCTTAACAAAACCAGAATGTGCCATTTTGCCCCCTACCCTCACTCTGCAATCTACCTTTCTTCAACTTCTACTCACTGCTCTTTCTTCTACCCTCTGACCTTTAAGGTGTCTTCTACCTCTAAATCCTACAAGCCCTAGTCATTTCCTCATTTTCTGATCACAGAGAGGTTGCTGTCCATTAAATCTAAATGTAATCTTAAATTTGGCTTTCCCTCTGTGTCTTAAAAGCAGAAACTGAGACTCCTAAGCACCATTTTGATTGTATCACTTGATGGAATAGTAGTTTTGGGGGTTTTTTTGGCCAGGGATGGATAGACACCCTACCACAGGACACCCCCATTCTATGGTACCTTCCATTAACTGGTTTTTGAGATCTTGAAAGACATAATTTTTCATTTCATTGTCCTGATTGAGCTATGTCTGCTATGTCCGTCACACTCCAAAATCACTTAGTATTTGTTTGTTTTCTGCTCAATAGGTTACCAAGGAATCACTCTACAAAAATTAATATTCTGGCTTAACAGAAAAGGAAATGATTCTATGTTTGGGTTTTGTTTGGTGACCCAGCTAAAGAAACCTTCCACAAATTCATCATGATTCCTGGCCCCAAAGCTGCTTGATACTCCTTTTATTCATTCTTTATTGGTTCCCTATCACATTCCCCACAGGAGTACTTCCAAGACTTTTTTGCTTTTCTCAAGTCTCCAACCACAGCTCTGACTCCTGAACTTGCAACAGATGATCCAGTTTCCTACTTTACTGAGATCAAGGCCAGCTAAGCTTTTGGTCTCACTCCATCTCAAGACCTTTTCATCTTCCCTTGACTCTCTCCTGTCCTTGCCCTGCATCAAAGAGAAGTAGCCGCCTTCTTCAGGAAGCAAAAGGTCCCACCTGTGCTCTTGATCAATTGTCCTCTCACCTGATGGCAACGTGGTGCAACACACCAGCTTCTATGACAATGTCAATAAGTATTCTTTTGTGTTGTCTGGCGAGTTACTTGTCCTCCCTGAGCCCCAGGAATCTTAGAGGCTCTTGAATGATCATTGCTAAGGCTTCTTCCAACCCCACCCCTACCTCTAATGGACCCTAGCTTTGTTTCACATCTCTTCCTCTCTTTTTCTCAATCTATGGAATCTTTCCTTTCTGCCTTCAAACATTCTCAGGTCTCCTTTTTGATTCTTAAAAGGTTCTTTGATCTCATTGATGCAGGTACTCCCTGAATTAATGCACACTGCAACCCATTCATGTCTTCTCATCCTGTACAACTCCCCAAACTCATTCCCTTATAAATCCTTCAGGGACAGGGGCAAATCCCACTTACTGGGGGCCTTTCTTTGGATCTCTTGACATTGAATAGACACCAATGGAGCACACAGGCTCTGATGGTTTTCCCTTCATTCCTGCCACATGACTAGCCTTTCTTCTCTGGTGGAACGTCGTTCTGATGACATCTTTTCTGCAGCTGCTCTAGTGCAGTTCTTGGTTGGTAATGCACTGTGGCCTAAGACATCCACCATGCACTTCTCCATTGCCCTTTGGGTGACCCTCAACTTAAGTTTTTGAAGACTCTGTTCTTCCTTGGTCTGTAGCCACACAGTATCAATGAAAGAATATTGTTCTTTTATCTTAAATGGAAAAAAAAAGCCTTTCTCTGACCTAGAATAAATTCATTCTCCAATTTATAGAGTTAGGTCCCTTTCTGTTCTAAATCTATGTCCCCATGACCATCTTACACTTGTCAACTTGAGCCTACTTCTCCTGATGGGAACAGTGTTTAAATACCTCTAGACCATGCTTTAGTAAAGGCAAGCAACTAATTAATGTCTAACAATACTGATCATCTTGCCAGGCTTCACAAAGAGTGTTTTGATTGGCTAAGAGACTTAATTTGGAAAACAGTAATAAATAAATTATTAGGTTGGGAACAAAACAGTCAAGGAAGGTACACTTTATTTACACACCCTAGTAGATGGCAAGATGGGGGGGTAGAGGGTTGGGCAAGCTTCCATTGTTAAGCAATAATTGGACATTTTGGTCCTTAGCTTGATGTACTCTTATCACATTCAACCTGATGATGTAACTGTGCCACTATTACTAGGTAAAATGGTCTGGAAAGGGAGCAATAAATTTGAGTAATAGGAAAAATATACAAAAAGTTAAAATAATAACTCTAGACATAAATGAATTGTTTAAACAGTTTGAAGCTGGTGAAAAACTCAATTGCCAAAGCTTTAGAGATCATTAGGGGGACTCATATATAAGGGGGATAATTCAACGCTAAGTACTGGTACCATGTGTATTTTCACTTTTAATATTTTTGCATCATAAAAAAAGAACAAGGGTTGTTATTAATATTTTGAGAATTATTTGTCTTAATCAGAACATTATTTTCTTATAATGTTCGATTTTAATACATGTTCTCTTCTCTCTCTCTCTCTCTTTTTTTTTTTTTTGCTTTTTTGGTAAGGCAATCAGGGTTAAGTGACTTGCCCAGGGTCAAACAGCTAATATAAGTGTCAAGTGTCTGAGGCCAGATTTGAACTTAGGTCCTCCTGACTCTATCCCCTATGCCATCTAGCTGCCCCTCACGTTCTCTTCTTAAAGGTAATTTTATTATACCCAGGACCATAATTTCTCCATCAGAAATACTTTTATTTTTATAACAATTCCTGAGAAAAGTCTTTTTGAACTAAAATTTACTGAATAGCAAAATTCTCTAGAATATATAAACTATTAAGTGAGGAACACAAGGTTTTAGCAGAATCGTACTAGTTGGAGGATGGTTGGCCTCATTCTCTAATAAACTGGGTAAATAAGACCATTGAGACAGCATTGCGAAGAGTAAAGAATTCTTCATTGGAAGCATGAGACCTAGAGAGCACAGAATCCAATTTTAGCGCAGCTGCTTCCATATGTGCAACCTTGGGCACCTCAATTTCTTTCTCTTGTCCTCAGTTTCCTCATCTGTAAACTGAGAGAGTTGGGTTGGGAGTGCTCTTACAGCTCTGAATCTTATAAATCCATGAAACACTGAAGAAAAAAACCC